TTCCCTTCCCATTTCCTCTGGCCTGTAAATTCCAGAGGACGCTGATAAGCCATAGTTGTGATCTGACTATTTGATTTGTTCTAAAATGTTTTACATCATCATATGTATCTTTAAAACAACAGTTACGACAAACGAAGGAACAAGAACCCATCGGACGATGGACGACAATGGGGATATATTTTGTATTTGATTGACCCTAATGGTCTTCCGTAGAAAGCTAAAAGGTCACCGTTGGGGAACTGGGACACAATATACCGTATTATTAGTACAGGTTATGTGTACACAGTGTAGATATCATTGAATTGACATGTATCGTCCTACTTAATAGCTTGTTGACCTGTGATTGGGTATAATAGACATGGACTAGATTAAGCATGTTTCAATTTTTAGCTAGTCACCCTAACATACACGTGTACATGCTTTATCATGCGATATAAGAGACAGACATAAATAATATCATACCGGCCTTGTAGTCTCCTGGCCATGCTGCATAATCAATCCTGTGGTCTTTAAACTCGACACCAGCGGCTGCGAAACACAGTCTACACGTTTCTCCTTTTCCTCTTAAATCAAAATAGTGATACGTGTAAGAAGGCATGATGCTAGGAATATAATAACTAAGGATTTGATGTGTGATGTTTGAAGCTCTCGCCGTCTTGTGTTAAGTCTCATGAGATTAGTCACGTGACTACTGTGGATACGCCCACCTTAGTACATATAATGTATGTCGAGGTTGGAAATATTAAGATAAGTGTTGAAGGAGTTGTGAATACTTAATTTATTACTCTAATCGCAGCCAACTCGGTAATAAATAAATAAAATAAATTAAAGGTACACTGTCTTTATCGGTCATAATTTATTAGAGTGTTGCCACAGCTCGACTGGATGTTGTAATAATTGTGGCAAGTGTGCAAATTCCCTTAGTATTCTATGGAAGCCTATAACTACCATTCATAATTTCTTCTTTTCGCCCTTTCATACCACGAAAGTCGAAAAGTAGAAGTTACGACGGAATGTAAGGCGACAGCACGCTATACAAGCCAAAATTGACCCGAAAAAAGGAAATTAAGAAATAATACACTGCGGCAATAGCGCCTCTCTTTTTTTCCTAATTTCTTATTTTCGACTTGCATTTTGGCATCTATACCATCTTGTCGACTTTCGACTTAGTCATATTTTTGTATTTATTGATGTCAGTAAGATGAGGCCAACACGCATACCAAGCCATAATGCAACCCGAAAAGTAGAAATTAAGAAATAAACACGTCGGGCTATTAGCGACCTATCATTTTGGCTTGCTGTCGTACTGTCGACTTTTCGAGTTTCGCCTTAGTTACGTCTGTGGGATCAAAATAACTTGGTCTCTAGTCGCCGACTCGGAATTAAAGGCCAAGGTCGAAGGCACCAAATTCTAAGTGTTATTACATGTTTTCCGACCTAAATACCATTCGAGTTCCAGATTTAGAATCCAGAATTAAAATAATGATCAAGAATAAGTTTTATTTTACTTTCCAAAAATTACCATGTTTTAGGGGCTTCGAATAAACTGATATTAACTCGTTAACTTTAAAATTTTAACAATTAATATGAAATTTTTAACTTCATGACAGATTGTGTATAGCTTTCAGCATTGTTTGTTGTTAGAATATAAAAATAGGTAGACCAGCTCCTTTGAAGTTGAACACTTTGTTTACGCACCGCTTCACATCAATCGTCAATGTACAATTGATTGTATTATATAGCTATGGACACAGATCACCAAATATTCCTACGCCGTCATATTCCTACGCCTTCACCCACTAAACAAAAGCTATTTTTAGTCTTCCTCTCCCTTTTCCCTTTCCCCCTTTTGCATGGCGATTTTTGTTGACTTTTTGGTGTACAATCGAAAAAATGGTTTTGAAAATACAATTTCTGCCCGGTTTTGGTGAATATTCATAATTTTGATGCGGAAGGATACAAGAGTTGAGATGTTGGTTAGGTTGAAATGTAGGGCCTGAAATTGCATGTTTACTTGTCTCTACTTCCAGCTTGTGTATCTCAAGTTTTTCATGAAGAACCTCCTAATACGTGCTTTTGGGAAAGTGGTTGCCACGTGTTGCTCCATCTGTGGTAGAAAGGGTTCTACCCAACGAAAATTTTGGAAAAAGTTAGAGCCGTTCTAAGATACGAGAATTAACATTGGAGTCAATGGGAAAATCTTTATTGATCTGTGGCCGTATGTGTGTATGGATAATGATTCGACATAAAATAGGCCGAGCTCAAGCTGGCATACAAAAAGCCACCGAAATAATAAGACCGCTTACCATAGAAGAATGGCGAATCAAGTCGGCATACAATAAGTATGGAAGGTTATAACTTCCCGCATCACTGATAAGAGAGAAAACCACGCCGGGAAATCTGATGGACTTTCTCGGCCAATGCAGGGATCGAACACCCGACCTCCAGGCTAGCGAGCTAGCGAGCTAGCGTCTTACCCACTTAGCCACGTTATCCCCGTATCGTGCTATAGCTTTTCCACTGTTCACGTTGCATTCAGAATCATAGTATTCGGGCATACGCTTAAAGTAGTGAATTAACATAACATTTTTTGGGTGGAAAAAAAACCTTTTGCCTTCTAGTCAGCAAAATAAGATATGGTGCCCATGAGATCTTGGTCGGACATCGATTGTTATTTGTTTCATCAATTTTTCGCGCAGATTTTTAGAAAAAAAACGTGCAAAGTTACAAAAAATCATATATTTTTTTGAGAAAAAAGAATAACTTTTTGTGCTATCAATTTTCGGGCATTATATTGTGCTATCAATTTTCGGGCATTTTATCTGTGCTATCAATTTTTGTGGAATCGAATTAACTTCAAATTGCCTAGTGGATAAAACATTTAAATTTGGAGTAATGAACAGGGTCTAGCGGTCTTGCGCCACTCTATACACGTTGGGTAGTTTAAGCGACTTGTTTTTCTTGGCCCCTACAGAAGCTGTATATAGATCACTACAGTTCTTCATTCGTTTATTGTATTCTATATTCTGCAGTGATTTGACTGGCTATAATCATTCAATATTAAATTGACTGGCTATAATTTTGACCCCATGGGGTTCACTGTAACCCACATAGATTTACCTCAGAGTACACTGCAGCGACTGCCCGTCTTTATTAGTCCAGTCCGTGAAGAAAAGTGGGATGTTAAAGTCCATTTCTTTTGTTTTACTAGTGTATTGTGTTAATATGTGTTTTACAGTGCTGTTTCATAAAATGTTGGGCGTTAAAGATATTTTCTAAGAGAAGAAGTCAATAATGCATTGATTGTCATATTGCACAAATCCGATACAAACTATTAGTGATCTTTACCAACAATTGAAACATCACATTCCATGGCTATATTCTGGTAATCTACGGTGGTGGTGTTTATAACACGTATTGGATATTGCTTGATGACACTAAGACTTATTGAATATTGCTTGATGACACTAAGACTTTTGATTAGAATGGTTCAGTGATTGAGCCGTTTTCTCGCTAGCCGGGAGATCCAGCGTTCGATGCTGGTGTTGGCCGAGAAAATTCATCTTGATTATCCGACGTGGTTCCCCCTTGTCAGTGTTGCAGGACAGTGGCTTGGCAAGGGACAACGTATAGTCGTTCAGATGGCACGGAAAAGCGAGGTCACGTGTACAAATTTGCGTGCAATTAAAATAAACTTGACAGCTGAATTGGTTGCGCCATTGTCCGGGCCTATATTTCTGTCATGCATGGCGTTTGTCCGTCTTTATTAGCCCAATCGATGCAGAGAAGTGGGGCGTTAAACCCCATTTTATTTGCACTGAAAATGTATAAATAAAGTCTCCATTTGTTTGTAAAATCAGTCCCTCCACACCAGTTCATTACGCAATATGCAAATTAGACAAATCTTGTAACCCTTTTTCTGAACTCTGATAACTATTACATAACAGATGCCGTCTTGGGACAAAGTCAGAAAAATTGATCAATGTTTTGGAGGGATTACCTAGCATCCAGAGGATAAACATTTTTTACATGTAAATCCCTCCTTCGCTTTTTGGTTAAAGGACAATATTGGTGCCAATCATTAACACATATGTGATAGAGCTGGTTAAACACATTCCAAATATAATTTTAACACAGAGATCATTGCTACGATAGCTGAGTAATACAGGTTTCCTGAGTCGGAAGTGACGAACGCCAAAGGAAAACACGAGTTATCTCTCTATATAACTGACTGATGTGACGAGTGATAACGGATATACGGCCGAATTTCTGCTCACTAATAATTCCTTCGAAGACCAAAAGTTGATATATGGGACTGTAAGCGGATACCTGACAATTCAAAAAAGTGATTGAATGTCATTAGATAAGAGAACACGAGAAAAATAGAAATAGTCCGTACATTCCCTTGTTTATATTCATTCTATATCTTATAAAAACATGGTAATGCACTGACTTTTTCTTTTTTTCTTTCGTGTTCACTTATCTAGTGACAGTCAATTCTTTTTATGAATTGTCAGATATCCTCTCACAATCTCATACAACAACGTTTCGTCTTCGAATGAATTATTAGTGAGCAGAAATTCGCCCGTATATCCGTTATCACTCGTAACATCAGTCAGTTATATAGAGAGATAACTCGTGTTTTCCTTTGGCGTTCGTCACTTCCGATTCTGGAAAATTGTATTACTCAGCTATCGTAGCAATGATCTCTGTGTTAAAATTATATTTGAAATGTGTTTAACCAGCTCTATCACATATGTGATAATGACTGGCACCAACATTGTCCTTTAAGTCAACATTTGTCACCAATGTTTTATTATACCACCAAGGCGGATACGAGCAAAGGTGAGGATAATACTAGAACAATCAAATAGAAAACATATAATCCAAATTAATACAATCTGCTAGATTTATTCTTATTCTTTTTAATCTTAATATCACAGTCTTTCATTTTATTATATCGACATAAAATTTAAGTAAATTTTAAAAACATTAAGCAAGACACAAAAAAAAAGAAATCATGTATTATGGATTCTAGTGATTAACCAAAATAAAAATCTGCTAGACGGATGCAACAAAATGTCGAACATGGCGTTTTGGAGAGGGTAAACACTAACTACCCCGTACACGACACCATTCATATTATGTATCACTGTGGTGAACTCCTGGCCATTTTCAGAATTTAAACAATAATAAGCACACCTCGTCTTCACAACACTGGGGCCTAACTGCCCTAGCGAAAAAGCTACCCTAACTAAAATGATCACCATAGCTTAAATATACCCTATCGAAAAAGCTACCCTAACTAAAATGATCAACATAGCTTAACATAAGAATGAACGAATCTTTTATTCGTTTTCGTTATTTCATATATTCGTTGGTTTTCTTGAAGATAAGTAGGCGGTAAGCTGTGGCTGAGACCCAACTTTCTTGCGATTTCCAACCACTTGAGGATATTTGGTGTACACGTCCGGAAAATCTCGGAAGGAGTTTTCAAGGGTAGAATAAACTGCAAGATCTGCTAATGTCAACTGTAAAATAATGTTTAAAGAAATCGATATAATTATTTATATATTTATTATTACACTATTCAATGACCTTGGCTATGCGCTCATATTATTGAACTGTGGTCGGTTATTCAAAATTCGATTATTTTAACGATTCGTTAAACTCTTAACGGATCGATATCTTGCCCACATGTCGTTTGTTAACTGTTAATTAAATTTCTGTTCCTGGAAAGTCAGTTTCATTATCCGTTAGCTAACGGACTGATAAAAGTTTTGTCATTAGCTAAAATTTAAATTCAGTCTACATAAGGGCTAAATCTATTTGTTAAGGCCAGCTCAATTTTCGTCAAGGTGGTTGAGATGTAAATAAGGATAGGGCAAGTTTTGTAGGTTAGCCTTAGGGTAACCATTAGGGCTAGGGTTAGGGTTAGGGTTGGGATTAGCGCTAGCCCTGTTTACATCTCGTGATCTTTGACCAAACTTGAAGTTGGCCTTATCAAATAGACCTAACCCTACATAAGTTAGTATTAACAAGAAACTGAAGACAGCGGGACAACTGTGCTGTATGTTCACAAAACATGATTAAAGACAAAAAGATATTTGTAGAATTTCCTATAGAACCCAAAGATTCTGTAGAATTTCATTATATAAAAAATGTGATAGAATTTCCCCCCGCCACCCCTACAACCAAAGTCTCCAGGGTGTTTTATAGAAAACTGACATTAAAACATGTTCTAAAGATCTAATCTGTGTATCATGTACATATATAGTACCATACACCTCATAATCATAATCCGTGCTTTATAAACTGATCATACCGGTATAATACGTCGTATATATGAACAAACTAATCCAGGGTTGTAAAGATGGCAGAATAATAAGTTGTTAATTTTGACTTAGCGTCAGTGATGCAGGGTGGAGGGCCTAACAAGGACAGCTGTCTAGTCGTTCGGATGGGACGAAAAACCGAGGTCCCGTGTACACATTGGCGTGCACGTAAAAGATCCCTTGGCAGTTGGAATTCGATATAAGAGTAGGCCGTAGTGCCGCTACCCGGGAAAAATTTCCCTCATAGAACACTGTATGGCGTATGCCTGTCTTCATTAGCCTAGGTTAGGAGCAGAACAGTAGGACGTTAAACCCCATTTCATTTCATTTCATTTCCGTATAAGTATTTGTTTCACTTTTTAATACCCTAGCCCATCCCTTGCAGTCACTAGTGCGGTTTCGCAGCTTTACATTTACACTTACATTTAACATTCAATCTGAACCTTAATTTTCGTACGTTAGGTACGTACGATTTACATTAAGACGGTTCAGCGTCATCATTTTTTGTGACGTATGACGTGAAGCGCACATCATAAAAGTGTTCCGCCACAACACAGCTAAAACTTGTTTAATTCCAATAATCTAGTCCATAAAATTGTTCTCTGAATCGTGGTTTTACGAACTAAATCCACAGAGGAGACCCTCTCATTCATGTAGACAGAAAAAGAAGAGGCTGTGACAAAACATTTGCGTGTTTTACTAATCTCATCTTTAACAATCTACACTTGATGAAGGCCTATCGAGATCGTGGACCAAGTGTAACTGTAATGCCCCCGTCAGATCGGGTTGGCGTCCATACTGCGCTGCTGTGACCGTACAGCGACCAGAAAATACACAAGGTCGCCAGCAAACGAGTACACAACGCGAGAAAAATTACAAACTTGAAAAAAGTCGCGTTCTTACAGCTTTCCAGGTCAGATCGCAGAACCTTGGCGTTCAAAAACGTCGTGACGCGGCGATCATGGGCGACCATGGAGACCACAGCACGATATCTAGCGTTTCCACCACGCTTTTACCACGCTTTTACCACGCTTATGGCGATCTTGGCGCCCTCTGTGACCATTTTCCGTCGCCGTAGCGTCACAGTAAGGACGCCACCCCGGTCTGACGGGGGTATAAGCGTAAATTTAGCGAAACGCCATAATGTACAGTTACACTTACACTTATCTCAACGTAAATGTAAGTGTAACTGTTAACTTGCGAAACCTCTTTAAAACAAGTTCTACAATTCTAATCTGTATGTCACGTAGTATATAGATATGTAAGGTATACGAACAAACCTTCTTCCCGACAAAGTATCCTGTTTTATTTTCAGTTAAGAGCTTTTCAAGTTGTTGAAGAAATGTTGGTAAATCTTCACTGTTCAACTTGGTTTGTAACTCTGTCTGAAATTTTAAAAATATGTTGTAAGTATATCATGAATTCAGGATAGCAAATTGCAATGTTATGATATTTTTATTAAACTAAGTATTCTTTCATAAATTTAACTTATAAAACAATTTTCTTTTGTTTCGTTTACTTAACCAATGATGTTATGGGTTTAAGAAATACGAACGAAATTTATATCCGCGTTTTCATTCGTTTCTTTTTCAAATAAAACAAAGTCTGCGTTATCGGATTTCCTTGCGACATGAATCATATGAGTAATCCTGATGCAGCAGCATTTTATCTCGCGTTGCGTTCCAGCACCTGTTCGTGCATTGGTGTTTTAGATAGGTTGTTGTACAACGTTATAAACATCGTGTATTTCAATATATTTCTATTCGCTTAATGCATTAATATAATTTTAGCCTGCGCTTAACCTTGTTGCTTGACGGAGATTACACCATGCCATTGCGAATATGACCTTCCAATTGAACATAATTAAACAATAAAAATAATTAAATTATATCTTAATTTTTCAATATAACAATGCCAATTTTGACTCACCTTTCTGTTTGCATCCTTTTCAAAGTTCGCCTTAGCCCATAGATTGAAGTAATCTATTGTTAATCCTACAACACCATCAATAGATAAATTCTCCAATGAATTATTACCATACAAGCCTAAAAATATTAAAATATCAACGTAAAATTTTACAAATGCAGCGACGACCTAAAGGCTTCTTAAACTTGACGGTTGAATGTCCTTGCACTGTAGCCTCAAAAGCCAATTGTTGACGGTCGTACCTGTGCACCGACAGAGATTTCGATATAATTCGCTTCTACTAAAATGTAGGGGTATATTAACAGACGTCTGTCTGTTCGTACAGTGAAATAGTCCAATTGATGGATGCCAATATGGCGGAATTAGTGATTCGCCTCGTGAACAATCGTGTGATAGCCATTCATAACACTGTGTGTGGGGCTAATGAAGATGGACATACAGTGTGCTATGAGGGAAATTTTGCCAGGGCAGGGGCGCCAAGGCCTACTCTAATATCGAATTCCAACTGCCGGGTATCTTTTACGTGCACGCCAATGTGTACAGGGACCTCAGTATTTCGTCCCATCAGAACAACTAATGGGAAACCATGTCGGAAAGTCTTGATGAACTTTCTCGGCCAACAACGAGAGCGAGCCTGCGACTTTTAGGCTAGCGAGCGCAGCATCTTACCCATTTAGCCACCGTGGCTCCGCGGCATTGTAAGTCAGGATATTTTTCTCATATCTAATGAGGAAGGGAGGTTGGATGGCTGAATGGTTAGCGTTCGCGCGCTGTATCATAAAGTCTGTCATTGAGTCGACTGGCGTGGTTTCGAATCCCCGGTTGTACGTGACAAGGAGTAGGGTCGCCTCGTGGGTTTTCTCCGGGTCCTCCGGTTTCCTCCCACTGCTAAAGACCCCTACGCGCAAGCGAATTATTGAAATAAAATTAAACCATATGTTAGTCCCGAAATGACCTAGTTTGTGTCGAGTGGACGTTAAACCCCATTTCTCTCTCTTTCTCTCTCTCTAATGAGGAATGTTAAGTTAAAAGCTTACCATGTTCCCTGGCGATATATTGAGATATGGCTAATGATTGGGGAAATTTCTTTCCGTCTATCTCCAAGTACGGGAGCTGACCAAATGGTGAAGCTAAAATGTCAAGAAAAATTGTTAACACATCATAAACGTAGCAATTGAGCAATATAATCTGTTTTTTGAGGGGTTTTTTTTTACTCTTGCTTTCATTTTTTTATATTCTAAAAGAAAATCAACATAATTTTGGGTAGTCGGCGAAGGCAGTTATCACTGCTATTATACCAAAATAAATCGTCCGTTAAATTCTAATGATCAAAAAATGAATACTAAATCAATGAAGCAACCCATTTGAATCTTATACTTATACATTCTTCTTTTAACCATCTTACCGTCACGACATTTTCCAGGCCATGCAGAATGTTCTATTCTTACATCTTCAAATTTCACACCAGCCGCGTGGAAACAAAGACGAACTATTTCTCCCCTTCCTCTTAAATCAAAATAGATATATCTGTAGGTAGGCATGATTATTTCTAAGTATCGTCTAAGTGAAACTATATTGACCAAGCGTTTATACCCAACTATTGATAACTATTTACATAAAACACGTGACTAGAGTTTAAAAAATAATAACGTCTAAATCCATTAAATAGAATGTACCATTCCTAACTTGTATGTCCTTTTTTTGCGTGCTTCTGAGAGACACGATGGCTCGATGAGTAAGGCGTTGACTTAATATCCTGGAGTTCCCGTGTTCTGCTCCGGTGTTGGCCGATGAAGTTCATCTGGATTTTCTGGTGTGGTTCCTCCTTGTCAGTGGTGTAAAGTCGTTCGGATAAAATGAAAAACCGAGGCCCCGTGACAGTTGGAATGCGATACAAGAGTAGCTCGTAGCGCCGCTGTCCGAGCAAAATGTCCGGCGCATGCCCGTCTTCATTAGCCTAGTCAGAAAAGAACAGTGGGACGTTACACCCCATTTCATTTCACTTCATTTATATGCTACCAACATTTCGTCGTGACATAACCAGAACTTTTATAATGACATCTAGAACTGATAAATCTGAATAAGTGGTTCAAAGGTGTACATTCTGTGATTCAAGATAAGTGTCAATCGAGTACCGCATGTTCTAATGGACCGATTCAGGACTGAAAACTAAACTTATTAACTGGTTAACGTATGCATATGACTCATTTCTATTAACGCGTTAACACTCTGTGGCGTCATATTGGCATATTCGAATTGAAAATCGTTATATACACCCATGAAGGACTCGAATTCATGTAAAATATCATTCAGAGACCACGATGCCACTATCGCTTTAATTACATCTGCCGGATCGCACACTTCCTGTCGAAATAACTTGGTCCCCAGTCGCCTTCTCGGAATCAAGGTCAAAGTCGAAGGTGCCTAATTCCATTTGTCTTTAAACGTTTTCTCGTCAAAATGCTACCGTATTCCTGGGTTTTGAATCCAGAATAAAAATAATGATCAGGTTATGTACAAATATTGTTTTAGGAGCTTGGATGATTAACCCATATTAACTCGTTAACTTTAAAATGTTAACGCGTTAACTATTTAATATGAAATTTTAACTTGCTCTCAGTCCTGGGCAGATTCCGTGTAGCTTTCAGCATTATTTGTGAAATGAAATGAAATGGGGTTTAACGTCCTACTGTTCTGCTCCTAACCTGGGCTAATGAAGACGGACATACGCCATACAGTGTGCTATGAGGGAAATTTTGCCCGGGCAGCGGCGCTACGGCCTACTCTTATATCGAATTCCAACTGCCACGTATCTTTTACGTGCATTCCAATGTATACACGGGACCTCGGTTTTTCGTCTCATCCGAAGGACTAGACAGCTGTCCTTGTCATGCCCTCCGTTCTGCGCCACTGGCAAGGGGAAACCACGACGGAAAATTCCGATGAACTTTCTTGGCTAAGCATTATTTGTTGTTAGAAATATATAACTAGATAGACTAGCCCCTTTAAACTTGAACACTTTGTTTACACACCCCTATACCTTCAACGCAGTAGCAAATACGTGACTCGGTATAAAATTTACAATTGATTACGTGAGAAATGGAATTACAGGTATGCTCGTATGGATAATGACTCAGCATAAAATTTACAATTGATTATATATAGCTATGGTGAAATGCTCTACATTTATATATAATGACTCAGCATAAAAGTTACAAACGATTATCTTATATACCTATGTTGAAATGCTTTAATGCTTTACAGGCATGTTTTAACGTCCGCTTCCGCCGAACAACTGACTGGCGGTATGACGCATCCCAACTTAGGGTGGTCGTTTATTAAAGTGATATAATTGATGCTATCAAAGAATAAATATTAATTATAATTTCAAAACATACGAATAAACAAAGAGACATATAATTAAAATAAATCCACTTAATGACCTAAACAAACCTACAACTATCACGATGCCAAACATTTACAACGAACACTCTAAATTGTACATAAAAATATCAGCTATAGGTGATAAATATTATCTAAAGACCAATAGTATTTTTCTGAGCATTAATGGAAAGTGCATCTTATCTAAGTATTAATGAAACGAGGATGATTCAATGACTGACTTGCGGAAAGTACATCTTACAAAATTATTAATGCAACGAGAATAACCACATTACTATATTGCAGAAGGTACATCTTACCCGAGTATTAATGTAACGATGATGATCCCATCACTGTCTTACGACAGGCACATCTTACATAAGTACATAAATATTAATGAAACGAGGATGACCCATCACTGCCTTACGGAAGGTACATCTTACATAAGTACTGATGCAAAAAAAGAATGATCTCACCACTATATTTCGGAAGGTATACCCAAACTACCTGGGACTGGGGATTTTTTTGTAAAGTGGCTAATTTATTCTTGCTACAGAATTCATGCTACAACTCCCACTCCGCTTGGCCCCAAGATAGGTTGTAAATATGAAACAAATTGGTTCTATTGTTTATACCGAGAAGCTTGCTTAGTGACCTTTCAGCTCATGGAAGGGTGGGATGGCCATCATCATTTGGGCTCAAGTGGAGATGAAAATAATTATGTGAGTTATTAATACAAAGATTGTTCAATATAAGAAATTGGACCAAATTTTCACCTTTAACTTTTTTTAAGGTCCATGTACTGAATTGGTGGGACAGAGGAAGACAAGAAGGCGAGATTCTCAGTATCGTATCCAGAAGGAATGTCTGATACCAAATTGTTTCAAATTCCACAGCAGAACAATTGGAATTGGAAGGCAAACACCTACTAACGATATCAGTAGCTGACGAGTCATTATTGTTCATATTATTCACAATAGCTTCCCTTCTTCCCATCTCATAACTAACTCTAGATGCTTTAGCGACTGACAGATCTGTAAAAATCCTAGGAATTGTTGCTTTTGGTGTAGATAATGAAGTAGATTCAGATAGATCTGCAAGAACTGGGGGTACCGCATTGTTAGCTTAGGTCGTTTTCCGCTTAGGTTTGGTGGCTTTACCCGGTTTTGAAGTTGTGCAACTTCCGCTTGGTTCTTGCACCGATACAACAATATTCATGTCAGCATTTCAACAGATTTAACAGTTAGTACATGTTTGGCGCAATTTTGTCTAATTCTCTTGGGGAACATCATAAATCCAAGACAATGGTGTATTTTAATAATTCATAGCATAACCGATGCTTTCCAGTATATTAGCAGCATAACCAATGCTTTCATAATACATCATAGCATCATCTACACTTCCAGTTTATTGAAAGCATAACCGATGCTTCCGTTTATTCATAGCATAGCCAATGCTCCTATGTTTAATCATAGCATAAACCATGTATTAATTCACAGCATAACCAATGCGTTCATGTTATTCACAGCATTACCGATGCTTTCATTTTTATTCACAGCATTACCGATACTTTCATTTTTCCCGTGACTGAAACAGTGAAGGAAAGGGGGAAAACTGAAAATGGCAAAGGTTATTCATAACTGTGAACTAAATAACCACAGTTTTTTCCAAGAAGGGGGTCGCGTGGTAACTGATCACATGACATGTTGATAATAACTTAAAGTTACATACTCACATAAAAAATCGTCTTTGGCAAGACGTTATCTCAGAGAACAGACTAATTATGCCTGTAAAGCATTAATGTTAGAAAGACTGTGGAAGCAAATGGTCTGGATTGGTGGCTCAGTGTACAAGACGCTGGCTCACAACCCCGGGGCTCCAGAGCAAGTTCTTCGGAATTTCCTAGTTTAGTTTCCCCTTATCAGTAGTGCAGGATGGGGGCCTGGCTAAGAACATCGTCTAGTCGTGGGCGTGCATTAAAAAGAGTCCTTGATAGTGTGAATGATCAAAATTCCATCATAAGCCCAGTTGGCTCAGGACCATAATCCTTATACCAAAATCATTCATCACACTGAAGAGGTTTTGTTCTTCCCAAGATTAACCAATCAGCGTACACTATAAATTATGTATAGACAAGCCGTCAAGCCGAGCGGATGATAGAAATTAAAGAGAGTAAGTGTGATAATCAAATTATATTACCAATCTGATTAAAATACAGATCTATGTTTCGTTTCGTTTTTTTATACTTTCGATGGCCTAGACTACATGAAGATATGACAAGTTATAGCGATAGGTCACGTCAGTGGTCAAAAGACCGACTTATGACCCTATGATGTCAGACATTTGATTAACCAATCAGCATTGATGTTACTAGTGGATTACCCACAGTTCCGTGCAGAACACGCCTAAAGCTCGCCGCAACAGACCGTTTCATTGGCTTATCACTGACACCATTCAGAACACGAGTTAAATAACAACTCTTCCAGACCCAAGTGTAGTAAAGACAAGTAAAACGAAATTTTGAACTATAAAAACGAAACGAAATAGGATCTGTGTTTTAACCAGATTGATTATATTACAGAACACATTTCAAAGAATAGACTAATTGGATTTAACACACCCGTTGACAGTTGAAATTCGATTGAAAAGTAGAAAGTATCTCCGCTGCCTGGACACGATTTCCGTCATACCTCACTGAATTGAATGGTGCATGCCCGTCTTCATTAGCCCATTCGGAGCAGAACCGTGGGACGTTAAACCCCCTTTCATTTTATGTCTCTGATATTGAAGATATTTTCATAAAAATGGAGTTTAACGTCCACTCGACACAAACTAGGTCATTTCGGGACTAACATATGGTTTAATTTTATTTCAATAATTCGCTTGCGCGTAGGGGTCTTTAGCAGTGGGAGGAAACCGGAGGACCCGGAGAAAACCCACGAGGTTGGACAGGCGACCCTACTCCTTGTCACGTACAACCGGGGATTCGAAACCACACCAGTTGACTCAATGACAGACCTTATGATATTTATAGCGCACGTGCTAACCTTTCAGCCACCTATCCCCCCTTATTTAGAAGAAGACAAGTACTCGTATGATGTGAACAAGAAGGCGAATATTTTTACACAGATAAGTTTTGAAAGTGCTGCCAAGCTTTAATAGTAATACAAGTACAATGAAACAATGTTAAGTATATTCAAAAGTCTGTGTGAGAACCTAAAGCATTGTTCGATGTGAAGGAGAAGTTCATAGTTTAATAAATTGAACAACTGTTTTATAATAATAATACAGTCATCTTAAGGTTTTTGTAGATTCCACTTCGGAATCATATCTCTGTGACCTTTCTGGAAGACAAATAAGATTTCAACCGTGGCAGTGATTCAACTTTCTTCCGATTTTCGACAACTTTCGGGTAGTTTGCGTAGATATCGGGAAAATCTCTATAGGAAACTTCAAGTGTATGGTGAACAGCAAGGTCAGCTAGAGTCAGCTGCAAAATAAAACAACAAACATTTGTTTTAAAACAATAGAAGCATGAAGTTTTGTAAACATTTTGGATTTCGACTGATTTTGCCCGGTAATGTTTCCTACTAGAGCGTTGAAACACATTAAAATCCTTCCCAGACATTTCTTGAAATAGGCAGAGATTTTACATCACATGCACAGCTTACTCTTGCTTACGTGATTACGAATTTCTCTGCCTTAGATTTTATTGCTTGTTAGTTAAATTTAAATATTTTCGATTATTAAACATTCAGCAATTACTTATTGTGTATTTATCATCAATTTGTTTATACATAGTATATCAATATTTGACTTTAAATATTTGCATGTGACTTTGGCTAAAGGAAGACGTCATGTGATTCAGTCCCAAGCAATTTATTTATTCTCAAAAATCTTTTTTTATTTATAATACACTGTTTTATTTGGAAGGAATCGGGATTCACTACCTTGTTCGTACTGAAAATTACTGGTTAGTGGGATTGGCTTCAAGACATTTATAAGCCTGTCTCACGGTGATGCGGAAACAAAAACTTTCAAAGACGGTCGGCTAATATTCTCTTTGTGTTAAACTAAAATGTATACCATGTACCGGTATTTAAATCTTTAAGTTATAAAAATACAAACCCTTTGCCCTGAACAAAATCCAGAACCACTATCAGTTAAGACTTTTTCTAGATGTCCAAGAAATTTGGGTAGAACTTCATTTTTCAACTTAGTTTCTAATTCTACCTGGAAAAGATGATCTTTCAGAATAATAATGAGTTATTAGGCAGACTGATACTAATAATATTAACTTCTCAGATATTTTACTTACCTTTTATAACGACTGGATCTTAGCAATGTGTAACTTTTCTTTTTTTCTTTTTGGTTAAATTTTTGTTAATTAACATTATGTCTAACCTTTTTGTTCGCGTCTTCTTCAAAGTATGACCTGACCCATGTATCAAAGTAATCTACTGTTAATGCTACTACGCCATCAATGAATAAATTTTCCAGGGCACTGTCACCATATAGACCTACACAGAAAGATGAAGAAAGTTACTTTTTATACATCTTATTAAAAGAATTACCCTGATAATTAAGACTACAATAGAGATTATACTGGCAATTTTATTGGGACTACATTAAGTTAGTTCCAGGGGATTGCCCTGGTAATTGGGACTACATAAAGTTTGTTCATGAGAAACAATAATTCTTTAGCTTTGTAAATTTCTCTTCTTGATACGTAAAACCCCAAGTAAGAAGAAGATGATTACACAGGCAATTGAGACTACATTAAGTTAGTTCCAAATGTTTACCCTGGTAATTGGAACTATATAAGTTTGCTCATGAGATACAAAGATGCGCTAACTTTGTACATTTCTCTAATGGGTCATCGGGAATAATGTTTTCTAGTAAGAATATCAAATATACCTGCAGTTGATATCGAAATTAGGCGTCGAATTTAATTGATAATTGTCAAATGGCAAGCAATACAGCTATCAGTACATATTATTCAGCCACGAACCTTACAGCAACACATTTATGTAATTTATTCATGTTGATTTTGCACTTGTTCAAGCTAATATCGCGATTTATTGTGACTAATTTTCACAATAATGAAACAGTGGCGCATGTGTGTATTGCATGAAACATGGTTTTACTTTTCAGTAAGTATTTCTTTTCTACCACCAGCCAGTAGGTTAAGAAGTTCACATTTGATTAAAGAGAAAATTTGGGACTCATCTGCAAAATCCATCTCTGAAACACAAGGCGTTCAGCTACCATTATGACAAGCCCTATACTCCGAATTTCAATAATAATTACATGAGTTTAGGATTATTTTGAAAACGATATTATATAAAATCAAACTTATTTTTAAAAAATATATATTTAGTCTAGAATAAACCGTACCATATTCTCTAGAAATATATGATGCTATAGCCCCAGATTGGGCAAATTTCTTTCCATCGATTTCAAGGTAGGGGAGTTCGCCAAACGGTGCAGCTGAAATATAATGTAAATCAAATAGCTTTGAGAAATGAAATGTGGCAAATGGAATTCAGTTTGTTGCACATTGGAGATATTGCAGCGTGTTTAAATATTGCGTATACGGACTTATAAAAAGTGGACACATCTTAAGAGTTATTATTCACACTGCATTCTGAATCCTGTCATGTCTGGCTCATAGTTCAGAGTAGAAAATGTTACTTCGTTATAAAGACTTTATTTGTTTCATACACCAATATGGCGGTTCACTCGCAGACGACGATCACTGCGCGCGCAGCCTATAAGTACAACGTTGCGTATATTTAAAGGCCCATTCCCATCTATATATCCCATCACCAGTTGTTAATTAGTGTTCGCCCTGTTAACACCTGCAGCACCAGTGATCCAGTGTTCCAGTCTCCAGTATTCCAGTATTCTATTCATCATGAACCCTATAGTAAAAACATACGAAGTTCCCGAAGAAAAGACCAGCAGGGTGTCCTACCACGTGGCGGTCAGCAGCACGGAGAGATTGACCGACGGAAGACATCCTGACCTTCTATCAAAAAGAAGAAGAATGGCATATCCATGTGAGAACAAAAGAAGTCAAAACCAAATTACTTGAGAAAGAAAGCCACACCCACATGGGGATAAACTACAGATTCCATAAACGCCTTTCGAAAGTACTGACCCTCACCGTGTATGACTTTCCAGTATCCTACTCGGACGAATATTTTCAAGCTATCATGAATGATATCGGGTATGTCAGAACATTTCAAGATCAACGAGAAGTGGAATTAGAGATCAAGACTGAGAAAATAAAAGACATACCCCAAATAATAATACTAAAAGCTCATTACGGGGACGCCAGAGTACGAATTGTAACCCCAGGCCAACCCTCTCCATGCTTCCGATGTGAAAAGTTTGGCCACTCACGTAAGGAGCTTCGGGGCCCAGAGAAGGAAAAGAAAAAAGAGACAGTACAGCCTCCAGTTCCAGCAGTAAAGAAATCCGTCGAGAACAGTAAAGCAGTAACCCAGTCTCCGCCAGTTGAACCCAAAGCACCAAAAATACGAAGAGAGGATGGAGCTAGATCATCAATATCAGAAACATCAGACTTACAAGTTCACAAAACCGAGACCCCCTCCAATAAAGATAAACGAAAGCAGTATCGAAAAACAAGAGTGCAGCTACCATCCCTCAACTTCAACACCTTACGACGCCAGCTTCGATTGGAATATCGTCAGTAACCATAGTACGTTCGACTAAAGATGCAAAAAAAAAAACAAAGAAAAATATATATATATATATAACACGTGATTGTCTGCGATATCACCTCGGTGGAAGCGGACGTAAAATACAACTACCTCACACACTCTACATATCAGATTCAACAAATCCCCCCACCCTCGCCCGACCGCATTCTCCAAATTTCAGGGAATCAGATTATTCGGGCTTACGCGTAAAGAAAACTACAACATAGCTAACGCTGCAATATACGTCCACATTCCTGCTTTCATTGATATGGTACTTTTTAAATTGAAGAGAATGAAATATGAAATGCACCAAAAATAGTAGAGGTCATCCTTAGGGCTTTAGGAATAAGTATGAAAAGTTTTCAAGACCAACGATTAAGAATTGCGGCCTGTTGGCGACACACAGAAAGAAAATGGGCATGGCTCTGCCCCTGGGGGTTGGGCATGCACCACAAACAATAGGGGTGTTCCTTAGGGCATAAAGAATAAATATGCAAAGTTTCAAGATGATACGTTAAGAAATATGGCTTGTAGACGACAAACAAACAAATACAAGAAATGGGCGTGGCTCTGCCCCTGGGGGTCGGGTATGCACCAAAAAACACACACACACACATAAACACAGACAGGGGCAACGGAATGTGGACGTATAAAAATATGTAGAGTAGTCTAAGCGCGACATCTTTTTCTGGACCATTACAAAAGCCATTTATAGTTTACTGAAGTTTATGGACCTAAATTATACAGTATTTGTTATTCTGTAGTGATCTGGTATAATTTATAAACCCATTTATTGGAAGAAACCAAAGTGAATAATGAGTGTTGCGATCAGCGTTATGTCCAAACCTATATTAGAAATATTTGAGGCACCGGAATATCGATTCCCTGATTTATGATATCGAGCCAGTCTATATAGTACAAATGCACTGTACTTGTCCGTGTACGTTAAAATATATAGTACAGTCCATCCGTCCTCAAGCCAATAATATAGTACATCGACTGCATAAGGGCAACACTCCAAAGCAATCGATTAAATTATATATAGATTCTATTTCAACTAAACGAGAACGTCCTACTTTTCTACACCAAAACAAGGACGAGAAGCGTCATACACTGAAATTGCTATTGTCAATGTAATCGATTCATATAAATAATCCTATGAAAAGGAGTGAAAGCTTAACACGATAGGCTACCTGCTTTTTTTTCTGCTGTCCACTCTGAAGGATAATCTATTCTCTCCTCGTCAAAAGTTACACCGGCAGCGTGGAAGCAAAGACGAACGATTTCTCCCCGTCCTCTCAAATCAAAATAGACAAGTTTGTATGAAGGCATGGTGGAATAATCCGAACACTATTTTGTTGTTCTTAAAAAGTTGTTTTTAGGTCAGTCGCGCGGATAAATATTATATAACGGTTAAATCACGTGACCTCTATTCTGTCTATTATCGGGATGCAGACCACCAAAGCATGATCTCAACAACCACCAAAATAACCACCAATCGATGACCGTTCTCCTTCTTTCTCTATTGTAATTTTCTGGCCAGCTTTGTGTTTAGACTAGTTAAACTGAAATATACGGCGGGTATTTACATGTTTAGAAACGAACTTTCACTTTGTGTAACTTGATATTATACGCTTTCGCTTTTGGGCGAGACGTTATCGCGTGTTGCTTAATCTGTATTCTATTGTATAAGGCAATCAACCGAACAAAAGTGTGCTTGAACTGCTTGAAGTCATATGTTCACAAAGTTGATTAGTCTAGGCCCTGGGGAAGTTTCGCGTCTGTATATGCATATTCATATCATCAGATACATGGAAATAAATCGTCTAGACGTCAAATCAAATGGCCATTAAATGAATATATTTTAATTTTTCGGGTAATTATTCAATTATCCGATCCTATATATCAATAACACCTACCGCTCCCTGGATTAGGCGTTTCACCTGTACCCGGATCTATATTCGGATAGAGGTGAGGAGCCTCCCATTTTTGGAATACGTTTCGAAAAGATTAAATAAAGAGCTGGCAGTACTTGCTCTAATAATTAAAGAATAGATAATGAAAACAGAATATGCTGAAAATTTCACTCAAATTGACAATTCAATTTTAGGCCAGCCTCGATCGTCAATACTACAGTTGGTACGATAGCAAACAATGTCTCGATTATACATTTTTACGTTAAATCATCCGTCACAAAATGTATTCAAATCCACTAGATATCGCAGGCATCGAAAGTTGATTATGATCTTGATATTGATGGACTGAGAAGGGGTCAGCGAGTATGGTTGGCTTGGGGATTCCGAAATGTTCTCATGTGCTTTGTGGGTCCTTTTTATACGTTCACATTCATAATTTGTATTGCCGTCGCCCCTATCTGTGTGTGTGTGTGGTGTGTGTGTCGGGAGGGGGGGGGGTGTCACCTACATGCCGCAATTCTTAATGAGCCCGTTGGAAACTTTGCATATCTACCCCTTATACCATAAGGAGGACCCATAGTGTTTTTGATGGTTGCCCGAAACCCATAAACAGAACCACGCCCATTTTTGTATTAATCTGTTGGTCGGCTACGGACCGTCTTGAAACTTTGCACACTTAGTCCTTATACAGTAAAGTACATCCCTATGGTTTTGGGTGCATCTTCTGTTTGCGTGTCACCTACATTCCACAATATTATTCTTAATTGATCGCCTTGACAACGTTTCATACTTATTCCTTATACCCGACCGTCAGGGACAGAGCCACGCTCATTTTTTGTGTGTGTCTGTGAGTCGCCTACAGGCCATAATTCTTAATGGATGTTTTGGAACTTCGCATGTCTATCCCTTGCAGCCTAAGGACGGTAATTATTGGCAATACAAACCCAACGCCTAGCAATCTTTTTTACCTCTTGTCATAATATTACAGTCCTTGTAGCTATTTCGTGTTTCAATTTCTTCATTTTAAAAATTACTATATCAGTCAAAGGAGAATGTGGACTTAAATTCGAGTGTGGCAATGCTCTTGTTAGTCTTGACTTTACGTTTTTGATGAATCGGTAAAATTGCCACACACTAATTGAGTGATTAAGCTAGAAACATATATGTGCCCAATCAATTAACTTGATGTACATGAAAACTGCCATCCTGAAACATGTACACCTATATGACAAGATGTGGATCGGGGCCCTATATCATTACACTATATTATCAATTTGGTTTGCAGTCTCTGGAGGTGTGTTACTCAGAATGGTAATCTGATTAAAATACAGATCTATATTTCGTTTCGTTTTTTTACACTTTCATTGGCCTACACTACATGAAGATCTGGACAGTTGTTTTGGTAGGTCGCGTCGGAGGTCATACGGGCGGCCTTTTACCCTACGACATCAGACATTGATTAATCAATCAGCGTTGACGTTTCTAGTGGTTTACCTACAGTTCCGTGCATGGCTCGCCAAGCTGTCGCCGTAACAGACCGTTTCATTGCCTAAACCCTCACATCATCCAGGACAAGTCAATGATAACAACTGTTCCAGATCCTAGTGTAATAAAGACACGTAAAACGAAATTTTGAAAAATAAAAAAAACGAAAAGAAATAGTATCTGTGTTTTTTGATCAGATTGTCAGAATGTACTCTAGAAAGCACAATTACAGTTTGTTTTAAGACCCCTCTCCATCACAACCCAGTCCGACCATGCATGATGTAAGCCTTATAAACATAGACAGAATTGCTACAGTGAACGTAGGGAAGGGGAGTAACTAGATGAAAAAAAGACATGCTCTTACAGTAAGATTGTCAGTGGTGTCGGATATTGCCAGTAATAGATTTGTAAAGTAATAATTGATAATAAGGATATTAAAAGTCGTTTATTGAGACATTTCGAATAGTAAAAAAAAAGAGAAGCCGCTGACAATAATATGTTAAAGATCATTTCTGTTATATTTTGGGTTATAACTCTGTCACTTTCCTTGAAGACAAGTAAGGTGCTAACCGCGGCAGCGATGCAATTTTTTTACGATGCTCAACCACTTTTGGATATTGTGCGTAGACTTCGGGGTAATCTCTTTGTGGATTGTCCAGAGTATGATAGACGGCAAGATCTGCTAGTGTTAACTGTAAAATAAATATGTACAAAATAATTTTTTTTTTTTTAAAATACACTTTCATATTCAATTGTCTAATACTGTATATGGCAACCACTCTCCCCAAATATACCCGTCCACAGTTTAAAAGACTACTTTTAAGATACGTAAACTATACGAACTTTTCACATAATTCTAAATCACAAACTAGCATACATCACTCTCCAGGAGGGCTAAATTAAATTATAATTTTTATAGAGACAGATAGTAATCAATAATGATGAATGGGGTCTCAATTTCTTCCCTATACATACTGCAATGAAATGAAAGGAAATGGGGTTTAACGTCCTACTGTTTTGCTCCGAACTGGGATAATGAAGACGGTCATACGCCATACAGTGTTCTATGAGGGAAATTTTGCCCGGACAGCGGCACTACGGCCTACTCTTATATCGAATTCCAACTGTCAAGGGATCTTTTACGTGCACGCCAATGTGTACACGGGACCTCGGTTTTTCGTCTCATCCGAATGACTAGACAGCTGTCCTTGTCAGACCCTCCGTCCTGCATCACTGACAAGGGGGAACCACGCTGGTACATACTGCAAACATGCACTTATTGTAACTATATATTATACAAACCCTATTTCTAACATAAAATCCTGATTTGTTTTCTGTTAAGATTTTATCTAGATGTCCGAGGAATTTTGGTAAATCTTCATTTTTCAACTTAGCTTGTAATTCTACCTAAAACAGGTAATAAGTGATAAAATAATAGTATACTTCAATTTATGAATTAAACAAATACATGTATATACTGCTTTTCTTTAGAATGATTTCTGTTACTTTGATTCAAATTATGAGAAATGTATTTTAAGTGAATAAAGGAAACAGTAAAACAAAACTAATTTTTTAAAAATGCATACATCGGAATTCGGACCCACCTTTTTGTTGGCATCTTTTTCAAAATGTGATTTTACCCACGCGTCGAAGTAATCTACTGTTAATGCCACAATACCATCAATAGATAAATTGTCAAGAGAATTGTCACCATATAGACCTACAACAAAACAGGAAGAAAATTAAAAAAAAACATTCCTTGTTAAATGAAATGGATTAAATTATCCAGGACTGATATACGAGGAAGCAAACTAAATAAAGTAATCAATTGCTATGAATTGGAAGTGTTAATAAACCCAGCCTTCCACAAAATCATGTAGTATTTTCAAACCCCTCAGGATTATATCTAAGTATCTAAATAGTATTACCCCCCCCACACACACACACACACACTCCACCCGCGAGCCCGCAATCTTCACTGTTTAAAGAATTATCATGAAACTCATCAATATCCAGAGAATTGGGTTTATGGGAGACGTAAAATATCTCATCACACAGCGCAACTGATTTATGGTTGGTCTTATATCTTAAACGTCTTACGTTCAAGTGTACTATTCTGGTGAACTTTTGACCAGTCAAAAGATTGGTAACATTATGAGCCTATGTAATAATATCATTAATATCAAATACAATAGTTTTCCTGTCAACTTTCAATCTGATTACCATATAAATATAATTTTCGTTTCGTTTTGGATTTCTTTCGACAGTTGTGAATACTAACAATATGAAACGTGAAACGCGAAAAGATCTGTGTTTTACTTATTTTGATCTAAAGCTATATAGTTAAAAAAAACTTACCGAATTCTCTAGAAATATAGTTAGCTATGGCTGTAGATTGAGCATACTTCTTTCCGTCTATCTCCAAGTACGGGAGCTGACCAAATGGCGAAGCTAGAAAAGCACATTTAATACTAAACATTGTTAACAGAGTGAGCTGCTAATATTTCTGGGAGTTTTTTACTAATCAAATTATGACAGGCCGTTAAATCACAATACCTCTCAGCATATCGGCCAACAAGAAGAATTGAAATAGCTACTGGGATTTTCTCATATTTATTTTAGGGTTGAAAACTTAAAAATTGAAATAAAAGTAAGTGAACGCCCCGCTGTAGATAATACATGAGCGTTCCTGTCGCTGACTCGCTAGCCTGGAGGTCGGGTGTTCGATCCCTGCATTGGCCGAGAAAGTTCATCCAGATTTTCCGACGTGGTTTCCCCATGTCAGTGATGGAGGGCCTGACAAGGACAGCTGTCTAGTCCTTCGGATGGGACGAAAAACCGAGGTCCCGTGTACACATTGGCGTGCACGTAAAAGATCCCTTGGCAGTTGGAATTCGATATAAGAGTAGGCCGTAGCGCCGCTGCCCGGCAAAATTTCTCTCATAGCACACTGTATGGCGTATGCCCGTTTTCATTGGCCCATGTTAGGAGCAGAACAGTAGGACGTTAAACCACATTTCATTCTTTCATTCATTAATTATGCCTTGTCGTCTTCATATTAAAGTTTTGTGACAAATCTAGCAGGGGACCGTGGTGACTCGATCAGTATGGATCTGGCTCACTAACTTGGAAACAGTGTCTAGTCAAATGAATGGGACGAAAAACCTAGTCTCCGTTTACACACTGGCTTTGGCATGACAGTTTGGATTCGAAATAAGAGTAGGCCGCAGTGCCGCTGCCCGGGCAAAATTTCGCCCTCAGATCACACCGCATGGCGTATGCCCGTCTTCATTAAATGTGTTGTGGCAGAAAAGTAGGACGAAAAATCCCATTTCATTTCATGCCAAATCGAACAAATATCATTATATTCCTTTTTGTGGTACAATAACGAAGATCAGATTCTATTCATGTTCAGTTTTCTATGGGTTAATCCCTTGGAGCATGACGGTGTTTGTAGACAATCTCTCACCTTTCTTATTGTGTGGATATAAAAAAAAAAAATTCATTCCTATTACAATCCATGCATTATCTTGTATTAAATGACTGTCAATATATTGCATTTTTACATCTGCGGAACGTCATGCCCTTGAGAGACCAGGTAGTTCATAACTTGGTCGGATAACCATATAAATAAAATTGATCTTAGAGAAAAAAAAAAAGTAACTTACCTTCTTTAACCTTTTCAGACCATTCAGAAAAGTCTATTCTTGCGTCTTCAAATTTGACACCAGCGCTAAGGAAACAAAGACGAACAATTTCGCCCCTTCCTCTAATATCAAAATAGACAAGTTTGTATGCAGGCATGCTGGTGGTATTTATTGAAATATTAAAGATTTAGCCGAACTAGAAACATTAGGTTTGTTGTGGTTGTAAAAGGTGGGTCACGTGACTATTGGAATTGCTAGTGTATAAAACGACCACAAAATTATGGTGTTCTATTCCAGCCACTTCCCGTCTTTGAAAGCGCAACGCAAAAAGCGACAATTTTCTTACTGAAATTTGAACTCGACACGGCGAATGTCCACGATTCAGTGACTTGTCTCGAAGTGATTTCTGACTAGTCACGCGGTGCAAAAACAGTCAACGCAAAAGTCTATGAGTTTATAAATAGCCATTGCATGTAAAATTCTCTACACATCTATCAACTATTGCAGCTGTAAAAAATCTATTGTTGACGATTCTGAATAGCAGTAATATTTAGCTTTTTTGTTATTACAGCAGCTTTGGAAATTACGTTCGTTTTATTTTTTAAATTACTTTATCATTAACTATACCGTCAGGAGCGGCATCTTTTGGTTTAGTACAAATAATATCTCTGAAACTCTCGGGTCAGACAAGAACACGATACTAACAGTAGTTTCAATTTACTTTTAAAAGGATCTTGAAACAATTGTTGAGTTGCCTAACGTGCGTGTTTCTAAATTCAATTTCCTTTTTCAGCTTTCTGTTATGTTTCGTAAAAAAAGTAGTCTTGATTATCCCGGCCTGTCAATCACACGGAGAATGGTCGGTAGACTGGTTAAGCGAGGTTAATTTCAAAACAAGGGCTTGTAATATAAAGTAATTTGACTGAAATTTTCAACATTGTCTTTTTTTATCATCTATTTTTGAATTATTATAGCAAGAATGGCCAACTCTTTATAAAACTCTTAACTAATGTACATGTATCTTTAAGACATCGGAATCAATCCACGTTTCGTGTTAACAACTTTTTATCTATATTATTAAAAGACTTCTTGTTATTCTTTTACGATGAGAGAATATACCAAACACGTTAATTATTTTGTTAATTATGTCCAATTGATTTTAAAAAGATTAAAAGTGCGGTCAAATCCATTGTTGTTCTTGGGTGGTTTTTTTTTTCAATATCTTTGTTGTTTTGGTTTTCATTTCAGGAACATGTTATGGGGCGTGTTCTGGGTAAAAACGAGTAACCTTTTCATTGACAATTTCATCATATATTACGCTCGTCTTCATCATACTAAACTTAGGCTGCCTGTCTACAGTCAGCTCCTCTTGAGAGCAGACACTAAGCTAGTTGCCGACATTTTAAGTCCTACTTCGAGAATTTTGAGAAGTATTTATTCAACAGCTTCCATTTAATGGAATTGAATATGTTCATTTAGTCTTCGTGTGTATGCCAGATGTGAAACGGTGTAGAACCGCATTACAAAACAATATACTAAGTTTTGGATATGGCGGCCATTCAGGACAGAGAATTATTCTCGAAGTATGAAGTAGATGATCTTTGTGTGCAAAATGAGTCAATATATTTGATTGCTGACCAGTGAGCAAACACTCTATACAATAGTTACAGACCCCTCCGTGCATTTTATCATCAATAGATAGCTTATTCTCGCTTTAACTTCGTACATCTTATCAAGCCCTTCGTGTAATACCCCGAATATTTCGGCACTAATTTCGATTGGTTCGTGACCTAGCTTTGGGGCCTATCATATTCCACGATCATTGTGAATACCAAGTCTCGCCCTTTTCAGCTAAAATCTCTACCTTTGATAATCGAGTTGAAGGTTCGTTCAATGTCAAGGTTTCCGTGGAGATCGCCATGTTTGCTTTGAGTGTGTTTTTGTCACAACCTCTGATTGGGCGCTATATATACTGTTCACGTGTCTGCCGTAAAGGGAGATAACGTAGCTATAAATTCGGAAAGAGCAAAGCTGCGATATCACCTCGGTGGAAGCGGACGTAAAATACAACTAACAAACAACAGCTTTGTAGAAACATCTAGATGTTGTAAAACTCGCGGTCGTTGCTTTAGGAACATGCGTGCTCTATGGCATACACGATTTGCTATTTTGGAAGTACGAAAATGGATTAGCCATTAAATACATTCTTGTTTGTCCTTGCCAAATAAATGTGTGGTTTGAATAAGCTTTCCATATTCTTTTTTATAATGTGAACTTCATCTCTGTACACTTTTGCCACGCGGAAAATGTCAGACGCTTTAATCAAGATTTCCACGTCATGAGGTTTATAACTTTCTACTTTCCTCCGCTAACCTGGTTAATGCTATGGGGGGAATGTTGCCCGCAAAGAAGTGCTACGGCCAATTCGGTCAAGGTTTCTTTTACGTGCACCAATGACAACTGGAAACCTCGCTGGAAAATACCGAGGAACTTTCTCCGCGAAAACGTGGATATCAAATAAGAGTAGGCGGAAACGACGCTGTCCCGACAAAATGACACGGCATAGCATAATTGATTGCATGTCGTATGCTGTTCAGTTGGTGTAGAAGAGGATGTTAAACCCAATTTCGTTTGCTTTTTGCAAGATTTGGGCACAAAAATAATAGGTCCGAAATTGTATCCAAATCTACAGATAAGTGCTCTAAATCGCATCTGGGGGAGGATTCTTGAACCACCGTCACTGAGGCCTCGAGGATGGGCCACCCGCCCCCTGTCATAAATTCAAATGCAGTCCAACATAGTATTTTTCACAGATACACGGCTTTGTTGTCGGAAAAAGGCGCATTTCGGTTTGACCCCCCTCTACGAGTGTCATTTCCATACCAAGGTTATTAATTCTGACAAAATCTTGTATTGGAGGTTAAATCTGTCTATGTGGTTGGGGCATAGGGTCCATCCTCCCACTGCCCCAATACTTCACATAATAGGCCAACACGGAAATATGGGGGTACAAAAATAACCACATACACAAGTTTTATTCAGAGTTAGTGTTCTTTACTTTAGTATGCATAGTATAATCGATAAATAGCTTATATAGCTCAATATAAAATCTGATTTTAAAAATCTTGTTTTTAACACAATCAAATGACTAGCCGTTTATAGACAAAGCAAGCATACATTGTATATAACAATACACTATTGATAAGCATAAACTCAAAATCAAGCATTGACAGTAATTGATAAAAAGATACTCTATATCAATAATTTCACATTTCTATCTTTTTAAAAAAAATTAAATCATTTTGAAATCATAAATATTTAGTATTGAGATATAAAATTCTGTGACATAATACCCAAATATCAACGAGATTCAATTACATTATTACAAGCAATGGGGGGATAACAGTGTAAAAATTAAAATTAAATTATTTACTGGTATACAAAATGATTGTCTCGCAGTGTAATACTATACATATATCTATAATTAATGACTATATTTCAATAATTAAATCTTTCCAATTCAGGTTTAAATAATGGAAAGGCTAATCATCTGATATAATATTCCACCGGGAACAGTAAGACAAAACAATATCATAATACCTCAATGATGAATAACATTTTTAACATACTTGTTATTATAACATAACAAATATTACCATTATCAACTGTAATACATTAAATGTTCAAATAATCACAAGTAATCTTTGCAATATTAATGACAAATTAATTAGGAGAAAAGTTTTCAGTGCTAGTATTGTATAAGAAAAGCTTTTACACTAGGCCCCTCTTGGGGCTATAAATAGCCATTAATGAAAATGTTAAATGTCAATAGAGGTTCTTATGATGTTAATGAGTTTTCCGATATTTTTTTTTCTATTCATGATGACAGAAGATTACCTGTATATATATCATAAAACATATAAGCAGTTATCTTTAAGATTTTACATTATGACTTCCATAATATTTACAATATTATTATTCATTGATACAGTGCAACAAGGTGCAAATCTTACTTGTTCATATCACAAACTTGATCTCAATTTTTTACCAGATTTTGAATATTATGGCAATTTATGTTTTTCTTGCACACACACGAGGTAAGTGCGAATATTTGTTAAACGCTATAAAATAAATATAGATGTAATGCAAGAATAAAAATATTTAAGTTATATTATAAGCAAGGACATATTATATTCACTTTGTAGAGAATAATAATACATGGATTTCTTTGGATTGTCTCCCTTTGGATAGATTTGTATTATGCTAACAGCTACTAAACCTTTTAAAGTTGTATCTAAACAGGCTGAAACTGTATATTATATAAATGTATAACAAGCATCTACAAAATAACAAACATATAGCACAATAATATACCATACCAAATAATACTACAGGTAAATAAAATATTAATAAGATTTCATAAAATGCACCTATTGTTTTAATACATTAACACAATTTGATAAAATTCAATAACCATATGCATAAATTTCTATTACATACAAATGCACTACTTTTTTTACATATATTATCATAATTTGATAAAATCTAGATTTACAACAAAATATAAAATATAAATAATAATCATGTGCATAGACATGTACATTAGCTAACAAATATGAACAATCACAAATGTCTACATATTAAAACACAGATTGGGGCTTATTAGGCCTAATAAAATACCCAACAGCAGCGAAGTCGTCTATGCCTGTTCTAAAATCAATGGCAGCAAATGCTGCAGAGTAAGTTTTAAACATTTCAGAGAATTTTGTTGGACTATATATAACCTTTACAAGCGTTAAAAGTTACAGTGTGAACATAAAGTAAAAATTACTGAAGGTATTTGAATTACAAGCAACTTATCTTTAATTTTAAATGGGTTCAAATTTACACCCCAATAAACAATCACACCAAGACATACAAATTTCTATTGAGAACTTTCTTCCTTGACCCTGTCAGAATGTGAACGGATAGATAACTGCTGAAACTCAACAAACCCTGCATATTCGAACAAATCTGTCAAAAACGCTGATCAGTAATGCTTTCACACATATGGACCGACAGACAGGAGCTCTGATAAGTAATGCTATGCTACATTATTGTCTAAGAACCAACAGACAGGAACTCTGATCATTAATGCTTTCATACATAATTGTGTACGAATTGACAAACAGGAGTGACAAAATTATTTGTCTACATTAAATGTGGGCGTATAATAAAAATACATTCTTGGAAAATCGAAAACAAACTAAAAAATTACCTATATAATACCTGAAATCTACATAGCATATGGGGTCCCAATCAACAAACAACTAATTTAATTTATACTATAATCAATGCTGCCACAAGAAATGTTTGATAAAAAAGACCTGATAACAATCAAATTTTCATAATTGACAACTTTTCATCATTTTTATTATCTATTATTATGGCAGTAACAAAAATTATAGGATGTACCCTGTTTAAATACAGATTAATTCCATAACATTAAAAAAATTATAAAAACTAATAAACAAAAACTCCTCAATTAATATTAGTCACACACTGTATATGTCGGTAAAATTCTTTTTACACACAGATTCTGCATAGGATTAAATATCTACAGTATTATACCATCTCAGGTCTGAAAAAAGAAGAATTTAAAATGTTAAAATACAGAAATCAGATTAAAATTTGTGGCATATACAAGTACAGCTAGACCTACATGTAATTAGTACTAGCTAGTTACTTTAGTAACGTAAATTGTATCGGCTCTGCTCTCTACTATGTTACTGTCAGCTCCTAATGACAACTAGTATGAAAATAAGGCTTTTCCCCTATCTCGGTTCTGTTCTCATGAACAGCGAGAATTTTCGTTTACGGTAAAATTCCATTCCTAAATTTGGAAAATTGGCTGAGCGTTACTTTGAACATGACAGCCCAATTCAAATGAAAGTTGTTTATGTTTTTGTATCACGTAATTCTACATGAAAATAGTGTTGGATTTTTATAAATTTGTGTTGGATGTGACAAGAAATGATTCCTTTTGCCGACCAAAGAAGAATCACAGTGAAAAATAGACGGTAAGGGTTCCAAAATAGCCTTAGAACCGAGATGGGGAAAAGCCTTATTTTCATACTAGTTGTCATTAGGAGCTGACAGTAACGTAATGGAGAGCAGAGCCGATACAATTTACGTTACTGAAGTAACTAAGTACTAGCATGCAATAGCGAAAAAACGTCTTGAAAGGAATGAAATAGTGGGGTTTAACATCTTCCATTTCCGTACCTACTAGTACTGGGCTGATGAAGAAGGCAACATACGATACAGTGAGCTATGGATGAGGGGAATTTTGCCCGGACAGCGGTAAGATGGCCTACTCTTATTTTGAATTCCAACTATCAAGGTATTTGTCTCATCAGAATGACTAGACACTGCCACGCCCTTTATCATGTACCACTGACAATGGGCAACCACACTGGAAAATCCCAAGGAGCTTTCTTGGTCAATGATTAAATCACTGAACCACTGCGAAAATGACATGGTGTTTTAACATTCTACTGTTCTGTTCCGACAGGGCTAATGAAGACCTGCATATGCCATACATTGTGCTATAAGGGAAATTTTTTCCGGTCAGCGTGAATGCTGCACCTTGAAAATTTTTTTAGAGAATTTTGCACTGTAAATGTACATTAAAATTCAGAGCAGAGATTACAACCACTACTTTTAATACACACTGTCGATAATTAGTCTTGAAAACATAAAAAGATGGTGTCTCGGCATAAGTAGGAATGTAAAATCATATTACTGTAAACGTTGGTACAAAGTATATAAATACCTTTATAATGTACACTTTTATACATTTATAGGAGACTCTACTGATACTTCTGTAAAAATCTAATATGAAATTCTTTAAATTTCTGTAAAACTGCCTCCAACTCTTCTATTGGTGGTAAGATAGTCGTACGGAAATGATACGTTCCCTCTCTTTCACCAAAACCACTGCCAGGAACTGTACAAATTCCAGTCTCCTCAAGAAGTTGAAAACAGTAGAACGAATCAGGAGTTTTATTCTGCTTTTTGGCCTCTTCAATGGCTCTGGGAGGTAAGAATATTTGAGGAAAGGCATACATTGCACCTTGAACTTCATTACATTTAATGCCCTCAATAGAATTAAAGGTTTTGGTGACCAATTTTGCTTTTTGAAGAAGTAGACTTAGAACTTTTGTCTTTTCCTTCAAGAATAGCTCATAGGATGGCTCTCCTGGTTTTGGAGGATTGACAATACAATCTATGACCGCCTGACCAGATACAGGAGGACAAAGGTTAGCGGAGATACTTTTATTGTATTGAAGTCGTACAGCTGGATCAAGATTAATGACCTCGCTGTACCCTCCTCTATACCCACATTCCCCCATAAAACCTTTTGAAGCTGACATAAATGAAGCCAATTCCATACTACTATATTCATCACCCATTTCCATGAGCACTTTTTTGAAAGAGAAAAACTGTGAGCCATCTGCATATATATTATGTTGGTATACTTCATCAGCAAGGATAAAAAGTTTCTCTTCCTTTGCAAATTTTATGATATTCTGTATATTCTCTCGTGTCAGGACCTGCCCTGTTGGATTGCCTGGGTTGATAATAACAATAGCTCTTGGTTTACAGTTAGGTTTAGCTTCATTGATAGATCGTTTTAGTTCCGAGACATCTAAACTCCAATGATTCTCTTCATTTAAATAATAGCGGATTGGATAAGCATCGTACTCAGCTAATGTGGCCGAATATAAAGGATATTGTGGAACCGGTATCATAATTCCTGCCTTGTCACTGCCACCTTTACCTGTTAACAGCATGGTAAGAACAGACTTAATTCCTGCACTGGCTCCAGCACACAGATATATATCATCTGACGCTGATGGCACACCATCACGGTCATTTATATATTGAGCAATGTCTTGTCTTATGACAGCTATGCCAGGACTGTCACTGTATGAACCTATACTTCCACCACGACAACCTTCTAACAATCTCCTTGCTCTGTTCTTTGTATCTTCGGGGAAATCTGGGCTGTTGAGCAGTTCTGGATAGGTGACCATGGCCAAAACCTGTCGAATAAATGTCAATGGCTTTTGACCTGTCGCATGACAGTCTCCAATATTTGCTTTTACAACTTTGGTGAATTGTTTAGAGACGCCCTCTTTTAATTCCTTTTCTATCTGGCTAGCCCTTGCTACGATGGGTCCTCTGACAGCGTACTCCATTTTGACAACATTTGGATTCAATGTGTCTATAGTCAAAACTTTGTTATTTGTTGCCCCATTCATGATGTTCACGTCTTCTTTAGAACCAACTAACTATAAAATTGGCAGTAGAATACCAGCGCAGATCGTACAAACCTGGATATGTGTTTATCCGTAAATAACATTAAAGTTATAATATTTGGTGATGAGAAATGAACCGTCAGTTTTTATTCAACTTTCGTGTAATATTGTCTTGCATAAGCTGGGGTCAACGCCCCCCTTGCTTTTGTGACAACCCATTTTGACCCCAGTAGATTTAGGACCTACACTGAATTTCGTAACAGTGCTATTTTTCATACTAACGTTTCAGGATCGGATTAATTTCTGACCATTAACACTGGAGCTTGTATTGGCAAGTTTTGCATAATAGGAAAGGCGTATAGGCTAAAATTTCTTAAGAATGACAAGCGGAATAGCGATTAAACCTTTGATCTCATTAAATATGATCAAAATATCTTATGTCCGCATTTCTTTTTCCTAATGCGCCTTCTCGGTTTTAATTGGCGTCATCTTTTCTTATCGTTCTGTTATTTTCTTTTGTAAAAATGTCAAAAATTCAGAGTACAACTGATGAAATTGGTCTTAGTATTTTGAAAAGAAAACGACTAATATGTCATAAAAGTTTGGGATGGGGAATGAAACAGATAAATGAAATTGGCACTTTGATTCAAAAATACGTATGCCGATGTACCTCGATAATTAAATAGTCCTAACTGTATTAAATCTAAAACAGCAGTGTTTTTTTTTAAATGATAATTGTTATTCGCCTTTATAGTTGTGTATATTGGTACAAAGTCCCAGAATCGATATTTAGAAGTATGGCATCGGCAGCAACATAAAATCCTTTACTATAGACCGCGTGTAAGACTAACGAACTATCAGATTCGTAAATTTGGAATATATTTAAATGGGGAACAGAATATAAAACAGGAACATAAATACAACAGGAACACAAACAGAAACATAAACGTTAGGTGCATCACTACTTTAAGACAACCATTCTGCCCATCTTCCAAAGCATCGACTGAACTCGGGTGAGTCCACACGCTTATGTCCGCCCTCTCCGCCCGCCTCTACTTTTAGTCTCTAAACTACAGGAAAGACTGGGTCTTATTGTACCTTCAAACAGGAGGAACATTGGATATATATAAAGAACTAAGGTCATCATTATATATGGAGTTTTATATACCACATATACAACTGGCGGTAGTTTTGTTTTTCTTTTCTTTGAAGTTATATCTCATATCAACCGGTCATGACGTCATCATAGGTTGATATATTCGGTTCATATTAACCTGCCATGACGTCATCTCATGTTGATATATTCGGCTCATATTAAAGGCCGATGACGTTATCGAAATAATACAAAGAACACAGAAATAAACTTTTATTTTTATTGACAATTATTTTTTTCCTTATGGAACAGTTTGTAGCATTCAGCACCGAAATAGACGGCGTATTTATCGGCATATTTAGATCGCTTATCCATGTCTAAGATATTTTTCAGAATTTTCTTTTCGTCCACATTTCGATTATTTTCTTCACACAGTATTTATAGCCCAAGAGTTCCTTTGTAAAGTATTTTTTGTACAGTCCATTTAACACAGTCGGTTATACCCTTCTCTGAACAAACTGAAAACCTTCACGGTTCACTGTCAGAATGCCTTTTGATCCAAATTTTCGGCACCATTTTCACTAGCAACTACTGTCTGATTCATCGTAAATTTTAAACGGATTTCTTCGATTATGAACAAACTACTTAACTTTGGTTATTATAAACTTACCTGTGTGTTTGTAATGAACTCCCGTTCGATAAAATCCATTGCACAACTAATTATCACAACGATGAGAATAATTTCTCTCTTGAAAAATTTGAAAATTTACTTGTAATTTCGACAGAGGCGATGTCAACAATGTCTTCGTGACGTATTGGTCGAATCCAATATACCTGTTGCGGGGGTTGGTTAACATTGAAAGATAGTTTGACAGCGCGATCATTTTGATCGTATATGGGTTTGGGCGACGAAAAATATCAATTGAAGGCAATTACATAGGAGATTTATATGGAAACCATTGATCGCCAGTCTATCAAATTTTCTTCACAATTAAAATATCACTGATTGCACGGATACTCGTAAAAATAAAGTCATGAATAAACTATAAATATCCTATCTTCTTTATGTTATAAATAATTTAACAAGGATCATGAAGCTTACCTCCGAATTCTCTGAGTGTATTTTTAATTTTATACGCATTCTTTCGATCGAATAATAACCGCTTCAGTAACATCTTTAAGCGTGTTGCGGCAGCCCTCAGCGTGTCTATTGCCGTATTGGGTGCCCGGGTGGGTATATAATGCTACTATGCCCGTATGACCCCGTAAGAAGCGGAACATTAATTCTCGATTCGACAGTTTTGACCGAAGTGTGATAAAGCCCGTAAAACGAATGTATAGTTGTGTTTGTGCGGCATGCGTGTTCAAAAATAAATAATCCCATCCGAGTCGCTAATCAAATAATTAGAACAAAATATTTCAAAAAGTAAAGCTATAAAATTTGCAGAGATTTTACTAGAATGTAAAAGACGGTAACTAAATACAGGAATGCGGGTAGTTATGTGTGCGAACGCTCAAACTCAATGCCAATTGTCGTAGGTATCCAGACCACTCGGACCAAAGACTACTCGGACTAAGACCAGTCGGACCAAAACAAGACCAGTCGGACCAATTAAATTATATTATAAGGCTAGACAATATGCTATTTATTTATTATTAAATCACAATACAAAGAAGCAAATAATTCTTATACGGAATTCTTATATTTAGAGTTGTTTGGTTCAATTTTGTGTACGTAAATAAATCAACGATTAGTTTTAAAATTAATTAATAATGGTGAAAAAAAAAAATATCAATCTAATTTTTCTTTACTCTTGCAATGAGACTCGGTATTTCCAGACTTTTGACAGTTTCTACATATACGGGTATACTGTTCTTGTCTGATAGCCTAATTTTACTTTTTACACATTCGCGGTATCCTCAGTGGTTTCATTCCGTTCTACCCCACTAACCCCTGGGTTACTATATATGGGGGGGGGGGGGGTGGAGACACGTTTTCAAGTTATCCGCCCTTGATGCGTTAATATAAACAGCACATAATAATACGAAGACCGGACGTTTATATGCCCCTTTTTAATCGTGACTACAAGTGTGGTTCTCGATATTTTGCGATTTGGAATACAATTATCAATTTATTCAAACAACACGTTATTATTAGTTCGAGTAGTCATATTAAAACACACACAATTATCAATTTATTCAAATAACACTTTATTATTGGTTCGAGTAGTCATATTAAAATAAACACAATTATCAATTTATTAAAATAACACTTTATTATTGGTTCGAGTAATTATATTAAAACAAACGCAATTATCAATTTATTAAAACAACATTTTATTATTGGTCCGAGTCGTCTTTCTGTTGGGTCCGAATAGTCTTTTTGTATGGTCCGAGTAGTCTATTTGTTTGGGCTGAGTGGTCTATCACTTGGTCCGACTGGTCTTGAACCGAGTGATCTTTGGTCCGAGTGGTCATGGATTCTTGTCGTAATTGTACTTGAATTTCCTATACTGTCACCCCTAATACGAAATGATATCTTCCGCAGAGTGACGTAACCATCTTCCATATTGGTATTTTTCTCTGGGAAAAGTTTGTGATATTTCAATTTTTCAAGAGAGAACTTGTTTTCATCGTTGTGATAATTAGTTGTGCAATGGATTTTATCGAACGGGAGTTCATTACAAACACACAGGTAAGTTTATAATAACCAACGTTAAGTAGTTTGTTCATAATCGAAGAAATCCGTTTAAAATTTACGATGAATCAGACAGTAGTAGATCCTCGTCGGGATTTGCATTCACATTTTTCCACCGTCAATTTGTGGGCTAAAAAGGAATTATTATTCTTCTGATAACGTATTACTGAACTTATATTTACACCAAAATGGCGACAAGTTGTTTGGGTATAAACAATGCATTCACGTGATTAGTTCGGTAATTTTCGTTATTTATTGTTGACTTTTAATGGAAGAGTCCATTTAATTTAAGGGTGATCAAAACTATGACGTTGTATATGTCGGATACAAAACCTTCTCTCCCTCGGATTGATATGATAGAGAACACGCGGGCGAAGCATGAACCTCGGGTAGGTTAATATCCTATACATGTTATCGAATGGAAACGGCATTGTCAATAAACATGCGGGATTTATTAATTCTGTAATCAAAACACAACAGATATATCTGAAGGGGTTAGAAGCCTATATCGTATACTACCAATAACATGCGGTGGTTCGGATGGTTCAGTGCATCTAAATAAATGTTAGTATTTTATATCATGGAATATAGTCTAAATTTGATAAAAAAAAAATATGGAGCACTTTGTCATACGTGCTTCGCCACTTATCATCGACCGTTCGTTCTTTCATTCTTCGGGCTTAACGTACAATACTACCGAGAGAAATGTCGCAGACAACTCATAATATCAAGTCCGATCTTATTAAATCAAAAACTATGAAATATGGTAGTACCAGACTTGCTTGCATGGTATCCAAAGAAACTCTGCACCGTTAAAGGGGAGATAACCCCAAGGTTAAAAAAAGTTGTTCTCGGTTATTTGTTACGTGACTAGTTAATAGTCGACCCAGAAGTCATGAAGTTTTGTTTATTATCTGTAACCTTAAAAATGATTTAAAGACACCGTTCATCATCCGTCGGGAGTATACTGATGCAGTAAAATCTGAGATGACCTGTTCAATTTTATAAGAATTTCTATTCCCCGTTGCGCATAGGCCTACACCGGTGATCAAAATTTGAAATGTCTGGCTATTTGGTTGAAAAACTTTTTACTTTTACAACTTTCGGGTTTCAGGGTTATATTCATATGTTTTAGTATTAAATATTGAATGTGATTACTTAAGAAAACGAGAAAAGTGTCAGTCCTTAAGCAGATTTATATCCGACATGTTTGACATCATGAAAAGGAATACGTTTAATACTAGCTGAATGCGATAAAGTCGGTCATGTAAAATCTAAGCTTTAGTAGGCCTATCTTTCTACAATATTATTAAAAATATGAGAAAGAAATACCTAGATGTAGATAATGAAGACGTTTCCAATCAGTCCGTCTGATCCCCCTTTCATCAATCAAATAAAAT